TTTTTTTTTTTTTTTTTTACTGCTTTCCTTTTTCCTCTGTTGGCTAGCGTCCAGCCTAAGACCAGCATGCTCAGTAAGTACTTAGTCACAGAACTGGAGTCACTTGTAGGTAGCACTCTGTTGTACTTACTATCCTGAGCACCTCACCTGTTTATTATACTTACTGGCCACATGGATGGACATTTAGAGCCACAGAGAGATGGGATCAGCAAGAGAGTGAGAGGGAGGTATCACTATCCTCAGATAACTGGTAATGAAATAGATTCGCAGAGGGTTGGTCAGCCATTGGGGACAGTGCAGAGTTGTAAACCCCACAGAGATGTTAATCTCCCTTCAAATATGCCCCCTCCCTTCAAGCGCAAAGTCTGCAGCTGCACAAAGCTGGATGGCTCGCGGAGGATCTTGCCTGCACTGGCCTGACCATCCAGGAGAGGGCGGTGCTGCACACATAAGCAGACCCGCCCCACCCACAGGCTCTGTGGCTCAGCTCTGACAGTATCCGTTCTCAGGATTTCACGCAGAAGCATTCTTCAAGAATGTTTGCCAAAGGCAGTTGTTCTCAAGCAGTGATTTCCACCAACCTGGCATTTGGCAATATGTGGAGACCTTTTGGGTTGTTACAACCGGTGCATGTTGCTAGACAGATATCCTTCATGCGTGGGACAGCCACCCACCCCCAGCAGAGAACTGTCCGGTCCAAAATGTTGACTGGTGCATTGAGAAGTTGAATAATCCTACCCTAAGTGAGAAATCCTTCTAAACTGACCCAGAGAAGCAAACAGAAGATGGTTTCAACAAAGATGTGGAAAAACAATAGCAGTTAGTGAAAAATAACTTATGGGTTCACTTTTTGGTTTTGAGGGCTGAGTAGATTTTGTGATATCATTTCAGCTGCTCACTTGCTGACTGTTGCCATCAGTGTGCTGAGCTGACATGTATGTGAATTTGTGTCATGGGCCATGAAGGTCATCCGATGGAGAGAATGTCCTCCCTTAGTGCCCAGGGCCTACTTATTAACCTCTTGCCTCTCTGAGGAAACGATCCCTCCTGCTCTGTGGATACAAGGTGTAATCCAAACACAAGTGACACTAATCTTTTAAATAAAAGACACATTGCCATTAGTCTCCCTTAAAATACTCCCCCCCCAAACGCACTGATCCCATCATTCTGACCACCTTTTGAAGCAGCTCTGGAGTTCTCTTTTGTGTCTTTAGTTGCACTGTCCTGGTTGCCTCAATGTCTTGAGTGGACTCAAAACATTTACCTTTCATGGTCATTTTGACTTTGAGGAAGAGCCAGAAGTCACATGGCGCCAAATCTGGTGAGTAAGGTAGATGAGAACACGTCATGATACTTTTACAAACCTGCCTTTCCACTGGATGGCACTTGGCCTCAGCATTCACCGTATTTTGTGTCATCCCTTATAAAGACATGGAGGAGGCCTTTCAGAACTGCATCAGGAAATGGCAAGAAAAGCTGGATAAGTGTGTTTAAAGAAAAGGAGAGTGTTTTATAGGAGAAATAGTGGCAATGTGTGTTTTGCTGTAATACTTTTTAAAAATTTAAACATTATATATTTTGATCATCCTTTGTACTCTCCATCTCCAAACCATCTGCGATTTTGGAAACATGTTCTTGCAAAACCATAATCTGTTCCTCGGCCTCATGGCCTGGCAGGAGTAGCAATTTGCTTATTCGCCGGCCGCGAGCACTTCAGATAGTCCAGGGAGGGTTCTCAAGTCTACTGGCCTAACCTATCTACACTTGCAGTCTGGTTGCAAGGAGCCACCTCCTTGGAATTAGGACTGCTTTTCTGAAACAGGTCTATTTGGGGGAAAGATAGGCATTTATCCATGTTTTACCAGAAACAGAATGCCTCCAAACCATAATGAGCCAAGTGTTCAATACAATATTAACTTTCCTCTGTAAGGCAAGTTGCTCCCCTCTTACAGGGTGACTCTTGTTCAGCAGAATATGGTCTTTAGAATCAGTCTTGCTTTGTGGCATGATTATTTTCCTCCCTTTCCTTTGTGCACAGTATCTGTTGTGAATATCTACAGGCACATAAGCTATGAACCTAATGTCAATGTATAGATATGACAGGAAATATGAGATCATCTTTTAAATTATGTTCAAGTTATAGGTTTCACCAAAGGCTACAGTGCCTGTTCTCTTCCTTACAATAGTTTATTTGAAATACAAAGTGGGAGGATTTCTAGAAACTAAAGATGGCCACAAAGCTGGGATTTGAATTTACTAGTGACTACAGAACTAATTCAAGTGCTGCTTTAGATGAAGGGAAAGAAAGCAGGCATAGACTCATGAGTGGTAATATGCTATTAGTGCTTTCTTGCTGGCTTCAGCTTAAAGCAACACTATGCTCATAAAACCTATTAATCATAATTATAGTAATCATTATCACTTATGCAGTGATATTTGCATAGGCCCGGGCCCTATGCCAAGTATTATCCAGTGAATCTCACTCTGTTTTCAGACTACCACCAGGAAATAGGATCGCTCAACAAGGATCCTCTAAGAAGCTAGGTAACGTGTCCCAGAGGGCCAGGAAGAGTAAAGCTGAGATTTGAACTTGGGAAAGTAGATGCTATAAAGGTTCTAGAAGCATTTATCTTGAAAGGAAACAAATCCTTTGAGAAAAAGACAGTCCTTTTTTATAAAGACTGAAATTTGCTGAACTAGGGCTCTCTCACATAGTTGTAATGGCTCTGGGCTCATCGGTGAGAGACATTTGGTGTGCATTGCAGTGGTGTGGTGGGAAAACCCTGGGCTTCAGTCTAGTGCACCCGCCCACTAATCACGTGAGATGAGACTTCACTGAGGATACCCCACTCTTTCCAACCTTGGTTTTCATATCTGTAAAGTGAAATGGGTTTTAAAGTACCTGTCAAGTGCCTTACAAATCGCCTCCTAGTATAACTGTGATTATCAATGCTGATATTTTTAAAAACAGTCTCGATTTTTAGTTTTTGCTGTGAAGATTCTAAATTATGATGGGTGCCTCAGGTTTTACTTTGGCATTTGTGTTTCACATATTGCCGAAGACCATGCATGAAGAAATGTTGCCTGCTGAACAGCCTCCCCTGTTTAGGAAAACAGTAATGTTAAGTTTGTGTTTTCAATTTTAGGCAATGCCCAAGTTATTGAAGGTGGCCAAGTAGAATTCACCCCTCTTTTGGGCATTCGGTATATGTGGTGGTACCATTTAATAGGCCTCATCTGGACTAGCGAATTCATCCTTGCATGCCAGCAAATGACTATCGTGGGGGCGGTGGTGACATGGTATTTTAACAGGTAAGTGTGGCCTTTTCACTTGTTAGTCTGTGGGCTTCATGTTGTGTATCTCAAAAGACGCTTAGGAGTTTTGACCTGATTCTTTAAAATGAGTTGATAAGGATAAAAGACTAAACTAAAAGTTGGGCTGGATGCTCATTTGGTGATGGACAGAAGTGTTATATTTTAAATCTTTCATATTTCCAGATTCTTTGGCATTAAGCTGGAAAATTCCAAAAGAAGCCAAGGAGCAAAGTGATCATACTTCTTAGAACTAAAAAATACCTAAAAGGAAGGGTTAAATTCTCCTGTAAATATCCATTCTTATTGACTTCAGACTTTAAAATTTGCTCAGCTGGGGATGGTGGCACAGGCTGTAATTCCAGCACTCAAGAGGCTGAAGCAGGAGGATCCCTGAGAGTTCAAGACCTAGCCTGAACTGCATAGTGAGACCCTGTCTCAAAAAACTAAAACAAGGGCTGGGGATTTAACTCAGTGGCTCCGCTGCCTGCCTCGCAAGTGAAAGGTCCCGAGTGCAATCCCTGGTACCAAAAAAAAAAAAAAAAAAAAAAAAAATTACTGCTATCTTTTGAATACCCTTCAGTATGTCTATGAGTACTGCTTTCCTTTATATGAAACCAGGAGAATGTTTGCTTGGAAAATAATTTTAAAACCTAAAGGAATTGTGTGTAACCATGAACTATGATTCATGTCCATAGTTAAGTAATAGTGAATCAATTGCTTGCTTCTCTATTTATAACCCAGTACCTTATGAAAATAACCTGGGGCACACACACATAACCCATACTCCCCTAAATCCTTTGTCTTTCTTGTGTGTGACCTCCACGGGATGAGACTGCAGCCACAAGAGCAGGCCCCAGGGACAATGACAGGGTTGGATCCCAAACAGGAAGTTTACTCCGATCCTGATCCTCCTCTGATTTCTCAGATTAAATGAGTAGATAAACATGAGTTTTCATGGGGTAAGAAAGTCAACCAGGGATGATTCATGCCACTGAGCAGCTCCCTCCTGACAATAAAGAACATTGTGGGTTTTTAATAGTGGTGCTGTTTGGGAGCCTCATCATTAGAGACTCAGGAGGACCCACAAAGGGGCTGTTGCTTCTTGGCCTTAAGAACCCCCCAGAGGCAGGAGGTGGGGGTCTCTGTTACTTGTTCCCACGTAGAAGAGCAAAGATCATTCTTGCCAAATTGGCCCGCAGATAGCATTTGCCTGACAGTGATTTTGTGTTGTCTTAGAATAACAAAACCAAAGCATTTTCAGTGAAGGCTGTGATGTGGAGTTCCATGAAACGTGTGCAGTTATCTCCTAATCCATCCCCTCTCTTCAACCCTATCCTCCCCCACAAAGAATCATGAAGCAATGAAGGAAAGGAATAAAAACACAAAGACAGTGAGAAACACAGAAGGGAGGAAAGTGGATAAGAAACATCAACCGAATGGTGAGAGCTAAAGACGGGATAGCTGGCTGGTGACTGGCCATGCTGCAAAGAGCTGAAAGGGCCTGTCCCTGTGCTGGCTGAGAGAGGAGGCCCTAATAAGATGCAGGCTGAATTGAGCCACAAAAATCCAGAAAGGCTCAGGAATTCAAATGTAAATTATAGTTCCAGAGACTGGCTGTAAGTCTTCCTGAGGAGCAGTTAGATCCCAGATTTCTCCCTCTATACAAACAGGAGATCTTTTCTCTCTGGAGATATTAATCAGAGAGTGTCTGGACTTGGGGTGTCTGATACAGCTAAGATGAGGGGGCAGTGCTCTGTACCCAAGTAGAAAGAGAAAGTGAAAGTCTAAATACTGTGTAGTGAGGACGCCCTCACCACCAACACCCCACAATCCACAGCTCAGCCCCCACGATGCGGGAGCCAGGTCGATCCCCACGAGGAGATTAGAGGATTCTGCTCTGGAGAAAATGTCTAACTCCAGTAAAGACCATAGATGGTGCCCTCTGGGCCCCCGGTGAAATGGCTTCCCCGACTCCTAACCAAACAGGCAACAAATCATACCCCTCACACAGAGCACCTAAGTCACTCTTAAATCTGAGTTGTTAGCCAGTGATGCTTAACATTTGAAGAAAACCAGTAGTGGAAGAAAGATCAAAACAAACAAAACAAACAAAAATAATTTAGGTAAAATAAACACAATGCAGGCTATAAAAGAAAACTACCCGCAAAATTTAGCAAACCAAACTGTCAGAGAGAACAAAAACTATTATCCCCATAAAATAAGAACCCCCCCAAACAATGAATTATTAGGAAACATAAAAGATCCTTTAATAATTAAAAACTGCAAACATGAAAACTTTCTTTTGAATTACTAGAATATAAAGTTCAAGATTCTTGCCGAGGTAGAACAAAAAGACGGAGATGGAGAACAGGAGTGAAAGGGCAGAATGTCAGAGTTATTTAGGAGACCCGCTTCTGACTAATATGAGTTCCAGAAATAGAGAAAAAAAAGTTTTTTTAAAGACATTATCAAAGAAAAATTCCCAGGGCCAAGGACACTAGGAAAGAGACGATCCCTGAAGCCCTTCTCGAGGGAAAAAAAAGATCAAAGTTCACAGACAGAGAGAGGGTCAAGAACCAGAATGGGGTGTGACTTCAAAAGAAACTCTGAGCCAAGGAAACTATGGAGCCAGTCTAAGAACATGAGAGACGGCTCCCAGCCTGGGTATCTGTAACCTGTCCCCACTACCAGGCAGAGAGAAAGGAGAACAAAGGCGGACCCAAGCACATGCACTCCCAAAAGAGTTCCTGCCCTCATCCCTTCCAGGAAGAACACTTCCCACTGAGGCAAACACATGAGTAAGCCAAGGAGGAAAGCACGAGTTGCACAAAATGAGCTACAGCACAGAGGAGAAGAGAGAGACATTCTCAGGAAGGTAAGCTACGCAGCAGATGTAACAAAATGTCCAGTCCAGGATGAAGCAGGAGGGCGGTAGACTCCAGGAAAGCTGGCTCCAAGAAGAGACAGAGAAGATCAGATGTGCTTGAACCTGTTGAGGGCAGATTTATGCTTCGGTGAAGCATTTAGTAAAGCCTATGGGCTTTACTATGGGCTTACTAAAGAGGATTGCTTTTTAAAATGCGACCCAGTCACTAACTCTAGGAAAAACCAAAAGTTGCACAAGAAAAGAAATATAATTGGAATATGCTACTATGACTATTATTCACTGTATGTTATTTATTTATGTACTAATGTGAACACTAACTGTTAAAATTTCAGTGTAATCTTATTGGGAAGGAGGGGGAGATGGTCAAATAAGTATATGGAGGTGGAATGATTTAGAGTGAAAAAGAAAAGAAACCTGAGTCTTCCATAATAGAAAGTTGGTGGACAATATATAAAGCTGAAAATTCTTAGGGGATAGGAATGGAGCTCGGTGATACAATGGTTTCCTAGCATGCAGGAGGCCCTGGGCTCAATCCCAGCTCTGCAGAAAAAGAAAAAGGAAAATCAAGAAGTGGTAGTAAGAACACGTAATTTTTTAAGTGTATAGGTGAGTTCCACAAGAAACAGCCAAACTTGTCTCTAGGGAAAAAGATCTAGGAGTGGGTGAAGAAAACAGCCATTCTTTTCTGATCGAAACCACCACTGGTATTTGGCTTTTAAAGATACTTTAGCTATCATTTTGATTAAAACTAATTTAAAATGAAATGTGCGACGATTTATTTTTAGCACTACTTTTCCTCCATTAAGGCATTGCTCTTTCTTCTGGGCCCTCTGCCTGATTTTGAAACCTTTTCCGTATCTCAAGAGTTCACGGTTCTTCAGGGCTGCGTTCTGGCCTGCGCAGAGAGTGAGGATTAAACATAGCCAGGGTGCGTTCCCCTCTGTCATTCATTTAAACCCTATGAGGGCAGAGGAGTTCATGCAAAGATCAAGCACCAGGCTATAGGCAACCTCTAAAAGGTACCCTTTGCAAACATGTGCTTGAAGAAGAGTCAACAGAGAGCCATAAAGATGGTGTTCGGGAGGTGATAGGAAGGAGCTAGAACCGATCACTTCGGGGAACGGATGTCGGAGGCATGGTTTCATCATCATTTCCAAACAGCAAAAGATGGTTTCCAGCTGTTCTGGATCTGCTGGGGAAGCGGTGAAGAAATGGATTCACAGCAGAGCCTACAGAATTTACGTAGAAGTGGATGAATTTTTCTATCTCTAACTAGTTGACCAGAACTGCTAAAAAAAATCCTGTTCTTATAATAAAGACAATTTCGGGCCTGGTATTTAGCTCAGCGGTTCGGTGGCCTGCCTCACAAGTGCAAGGACCCGAGTTCGATCCCCGGTAAAAAAATAATAATAATAATAATAATAAAGACAATTTTTATTTTCAGTAGGTCTGGAAAAATGAGCTTTGCAGCCTCCTCACAACTCTCCTAGTCCCATCTCTCAGTGATTTTGCTGTAAGATATATCTGGAAGGAACATGGTCTCTGTGGGGCCTCCGGAGTCCCCTTCACTCCATACCAGCTTTGGACAGGAGGCCGGCTGTTCTGTGCAGCCAGGCTTTGTCCCAGAGCCTTGGCACAAAAGTAATTTTCCATAACATTTGAGAGTTTTTAGTTAGCTACACTGGATCTCACTAGGGCCCGCTGCTAGGAGCGAAAGAGTAGCTCCCTTGGCTTTATGCTCTGTGTTGTCTGATGGACCTGGAAGTTCCAAAATAGTACTGAGTATCATGACCCAAAAGTGTTACAGAACTCGTGGGAGGGGGACCAGTATACCCTTTGCCCAGCAGCTTGAATGTCTGTGGTGTTCTGAGGATTTGGTCCAGGGCACCGTTAGCACTCAGGCAGCCATGGGTTTAAAAGAAGAGGAAAACTGAGCTGCATGGGACCCATCCTGGAGTCATCTTGCCCTCCTACACTGCCCAGGCTCTACTTGCCACACACAGAACTGGGATGAATGACCCAGTGAGCAGGTGCTCAACACACAGTTCTCCCTGAGTAAACCTGCGTGATACTGGGATTAAACACAGGGATTTCACAGTGAACTACATCCTCAGCTCTTTTTGAAAAAAATTTTGTTTTAATTTTGAGATAGGACCTTGCTAAGTCATTATGTTGCTTGACTGGGCTCAAACTTTCAATCCTCCTGCACTAGCCTTTCACTTTTTGAACTTAGAAAAAGATCTAAAAGGAGAAGGTGATGACCTCAAAGTCTTAGCCTTTTTTCTGCAGAGCTGTTTTTAGTTTTGAGGGCAGGTGTGGTGTGACTCCTGGCTCTGTGAGCTGGCTTGTGTTGAAAGGGCCTTTTTTTTCAAGTTCTCACTCATCATGTGATAAGGCAGATGCTAGAATTGCTGTGTCTTCTTCTAGCCAAGTCTTGTGAAACCTAGAGTTATAACCAGTAGGTATATGGATTAGGAAAATTGAGGCAGTATATGAATTCCTCTGCTTACACTGGTTCCTCCCACAGCAGTGAAACCTTTTCAGAGCTACACCTAATCCCACATTTCAGGACCTGCTGGATCAGACCCCAAGGCTCCCATTCACAGTGGCTGTGAATCATTTGTGTCCCTACCAGATGGAAAACAGGTGTTGTCTTCTTTTTCCTGCTTTCCCATTTCTTAAGCACCACGATAAGTTCTGAAGCATATAAATTTCAGTGGAAAAATAAACATTCTCCCTTTTAAAAAACGGGTAGTGAGAAAAGTATGTCAGATTTTCCTGGCCAACACAACTCTTCTACTCTAGCAGATCAAAATGAATTCCCATCAGCAGCAGCTTCCTGGCCTTTCCTATTTTCGGTAGCATCAGGTCGAAGCACACAGCACTTTTCTGTGGACACTGGGGTGCAGTCCTCCTGTTCCCTGTGTTACTGTCAGTTTCCCTTTTGCTTCCTGGATGGTTTAAGCGGTGGTGAAATGCAGCGACTGCCAGCTCTTGAATGTTACTGGCTGCAATCCTTTCCTCCCTCAAAACCAAGGCTGTTGTCAAAACCTTAATTCATAGTGACTTGTTAGCAACCCAAGCAAGTTGCAGAATAATCTGTTCTGAAGAAAGCGAGCTTCACTTGGAATCTGCGAAGTTGCTTCTCGGAAAGGGCCTCATTTTCTATAACTGGCATCTGCAAGAATCCAGAAGGGCACCCAAGAGGTCGCGCTGCCCTCCTCCTCCTTTATTTCATCTTTCAGGTTCGGGGTTGGAGAAGGTTGAGCCAATTCTGTTTCTTTTTTTCCTTTTTTCCTCTGCCTGTGAAACTGACTTGAACACATTCTTGGGAGCTGTGTCATGACAAGTCCTGTAAATGATTCACACTGAAGTGACCTTTAAAGAGCGAAGAAATCAGCTGGATTTCAGGAGCCTGAGCTGTGCCGAAGCCAAACACCCCATGCTCTGTGTTCCTTCCCTTTGAACTTAAGATCACTGTTACCTCGCTGGCCCTGGCCCTGGTCATGTGATTGGATGATGATTTTAATCACCAAACTAATGCCAACAATATTTACATATGCTCCTGAGTAATTTAAACCTGGGAGACTGTGATACAGTTAAACTTCTGCAAAGGAAAATGAGATTAACAGGCAGTTAGAAAGGGTGGTGGAAGGAATAGCTCCTTTAAGAAGGAAACTTGTTCATTTTTACTTACTAATATTCAACTTTGTTCTGTTCTTTATTGCATGCTGCCAAAAGGAATTAACTTATTCCAAGATATAATGTAACTTTAGCTACAAGGTATATAAACATTTTGCCAAATGCCCCTTGCATCACTGCTTTATAAGCCAATAGCACCATTGAAAAGTTGAACCAGAGAAGTTCTTTGTTGCTTTTTAAGTACTGGTTTTAATATATTCTTTTTTTCCTATTTCCAGAAATAAAAATGACCCTTCGGAGCATCCAATCCTTTCGTCTCTCTCCACTCTTCTCTGTTACCATCAAGGAACAGTGGCAAAAGGGTCATTTCTGATCCTTTTGGTGAGGATTCCAAGAGTCATTCTCATGTATATTCATGACACTCTGAAGGACAAGGTAAGGCACCAGTCTAACACAGGAAAGTTAAGTCCTGGAAAACTAGAGTGGGTTCCAGGCCAGGAATGTGTCCTGTGTTCCTTAGTCAGTAGACCACCACCACCCCACCACCCTTCCCTGGAACACCTTGTTTCTCCAGTCTCTCTTGGGTATATAGTTTTGTGTGCTGGGTTTTCACCACCCTAGTGGTGGAGATGGGGTAGAAGGGAGTAGTTCTGAGCTGGCTATTTTTCCTTCTTGTTTAAATGCTGAACAGATGGGTTGAATTCTGAAGGTGAAGTTTGCACAAGATTTTCAGATAGATATTCAGCAGCCTTTTTTTTTTTTTAACTAAGAAAATGCATTGTAAGATAGGAACACTACTTGTTTCTGCTTCGATGCAAACATATTCCCTGCCTGTTGAGTCTCCTGGAGGGTGCCGTGTGAAGTCACTGGTGTGTACGAGGAGGAAGTGAGGGGGAGAGGGGGAGCTGGGATGAGTGTGTGCGTGCATGCATGTGTGCATGGTACACAGCTTGAAGAGTGAGAAAGGGGTGAGCTGACCTACATCTCAGCTCTAAGGACAGAAAACTGTAGGGCTTTTGTGCTGGGGGTTTTCTCCTCCCTGGTTTTTATTTCCATGCACATTTGGTTATGAATGCCAGTGGAAACCAGAACACCAGGAAAGCAGCTGTTCTAGTGGTATTTCTGGCCTGCCAAACAAGGCAAGCTTGGACTTTTCCCAACTTTTCTGTTCTCACACAATGTTAATCTCTTCTCATCCCCCCTCAGGGTTCATAACTTGATCAGAGTTTCACACACCTACCTGATTCCAGCCTTTTCAGTATAGCTCCATGTCCTTAGTGAATTGAGAGCGTTTTACACACGGGTTCATATTATAGTTTAAATTTATTTTTGTTTGCTCTTTGAAACAGAAATCTGAGTTGTTGATATTTTTTAAGTCCATAATCAAGATTTAAGTTTAGTATGTCAGTTAGGAGCAATGGACTGAATCTCACATAAAATTATCTGGCTTCCTTATCTTGAAGTGCATGCTAAGTAGTTAGCCCTAACTGTAGACAATCTTCTTGCATTTCTGTTAAAGTCTTACCTGGCTACATTTTGGTTCCCACATTCAGGACAAATCTAGCTATCTCCAGCTCTTCCATTTTGAAATTGACCTTTCAATCTTAGGAAATTGGAGAAGGATTTCTTTAAAGATATAACTGTGTTTTGTGTATTTGTGTATATTTTATGCCTATATATAAATGTGCATTTATATACCCTATTAAGATATTAATGTATTTTATATAGATATATTTATATATGTATATGCATTAGTAATCAATAACCATAACTAAAATGAGCAGCTGGGAGCTTGCTGGTCTTCCTCCAGTGAGGTATCTTAAACTCTTCCAGGTAACAGCTTTCCATAAACCTAAAAGAAAAGTCAGTGGAAGATCCAAGGCATCCCTGACTGAGGTTTAAAAGGTTGCTTATCACTTTCTTGATCCCATAAAGGCCATGGGGCCAAACTTCATTTTAGTAATATCACTGTTGGAGAAATATGTCCTTTTATCGGTTAAAAAAAAAAAAAACTTTCTCAGCAGCCTTACATCTCATACTGTGTCCACCGTGAAAATGTTTTGCCCGGCCACTGTGTGATCTTTCCTACATTAAATAGGCTCATTCACAGCTGCTGCCAGGCCGAAAAGTATCCAGATCGAGTTTCACCCAATTGAATTAACACTGGGACAAGAAAAAGTCCATATAAGGCTGAGTTATTCCTGGGGTCCTCATAGTAAGCTATTTCAGAATTGTCAGCAGGTTTTGTTTTTTTTTTTAACTCTGGACAAGGTCAATCACCCTTTCCCCAGGGCACTTCATTCAATTATTCATTCTTGAGTTATGCACATTTTCAAGTTATATTTCAAAAGGCTGATTTATCCCTTGAAATTTCGCTCTGAAGGTCTCACTAGGATTTATTTCCCCTAAAGTTAAGCTTGATTATTTGTGTGGGCACGTAAGTCATATATACAGTGCTTTGTTTGTTTTTGTTGTTGTTTGTCTTTGGGATGTGAGTTTTTTATGAACACAAATTTTGGGTTCCAAAAGGCAAACTGTGACATTTGAGACACTTTAAAGACAGATGAAGAAGGAAGAGAGATCCTTTTTACTAGAACCAGAAGGGCTACTCTTCCTTTGCTATTGAAAGTGGATTAACCCATTTCCCGTTGTGCTGAGGGTAATAGCAACCATCCCAGGTAGGCCCAGGAGAGAAATTAAGCTCATTTGGGTGACAGCAATTAGGAGTAGGCACAAAACAGAACTTCTCCCACACTGAATGAGAACAGCCCTGGTTTTTCCCCAGGTATGCAGATTTGTACTGGACACAGAGGGTCTGCTTAGACACTGTCTGCTTACCTCCTTTCTGTATTTTTTCACTCTGTTCCTGTGGCCTGGACGTGATCCCCACAGCACAGTTCATGGTCCAAGGGTGTGTTCAAGTGCTGCTGCTGCTGCGTCTCATGTCTCGCCAGACACTTGCACTGTCTCAACCAGGTATGTGAACCACCCTACACCCCAGGAGCATGCAGAGGGGTTAGGGTAGTTTCCAGCTCCTAGGTCAGGGACTGGCAAATTCTTCTGTAAAAGGCCAGATTGTATAAATATTTTAGGCTTTTGGGCCATGTGGTCCCTGCAGAAACCACTCAACTCTGCCATTGCAGCAAGAAAGCAGCCGTGGACAAAATGGGAAATAGGCAGGGCTGTGTTCCAATAAAATCTCACTGATGGATGCTGAAATTTGCATTTAATAAGATTTTTATATGTCAAGAACTATTCTTCTTCTTTTGATATTTTTTCCCTACCATTTTAAAATTGTAAGAATTCTTCTTAAATCTAACCAGAGGAAAGTGGGTGGTCTGATATATTGGGCCCCAGGCTGTAGTTTACAGATCTGTATGAGGCTATTAAAGCTATTTCTCAAATTCTAAAAGAAATGTGTTTCTCTTCTCTGAAATAAAAAAAGGATGGAATCTTTAGAAACCCTAGCATAGTGAATATATATCAGCTAAGAGCTAATTTTCAGTGTCTTCTCTAAGAACTATAATTTTCCTGAACTAGGAAGAATCACCTCCCTAATTTATATATATTTTACCAGGCTTTACTTTTCAAGCTATAAATAGTCCTTTAAAATCATAAAAATGATATCCTGCAATTGTTTAAACTACATTTTGTCTCTCCTAAATCTTTCAAGTTGTTGTAAATTTAAATATGTGTTTTATTTTTATGTAGATCATTTAAGAAACTTTAATAGCCCTTAGTCAAATTTACATAAAGCAAGATTTTTGTAAGTCAGCAGGATGTTTTATAATTTAAATGTTCACAGGAATCTCACTTAGAAAAATACTTCTTACTATGGCCTATCTTCCTAATAAATGTGTCATTAGAAGTAAAGGGACTAATGATACTATCCATGATTAGTGTCTTATGGGTGGTATTTACACTGCCTTTCAATATTCGGGGAAAGTGTAGCCTTCTTATAGTAAAGCTTTATTTCTAAGGCTGTTTTCAAGAATCTTGAATACATTTAATAACATATTTCATTTTCCTTTGGATTTCCACAAACCAGAACATATAAAATAAAGTAAAATACCATAGCACCTTTCAGAATGATGTGTCACACATCAAGTCAATCTAAACCCTGGGAGTATACTTGGGGTAACACACCATGCCTCTCAGAGCAGTGTGCATATTTCTGGGCACCATCTTATCCTGTAAAGATTATTGAGATGCATTACAAAAATATATTAACTGTGATAAGACATATTTGCATGAAAAGTCAAGATTAAGAAACATAGACTAGAGAGTCAAAAGCCATGGGACCACTGATACAAATATGTTGACCACATGGTACTCCCAAGACTCCTAGTTGGAGTTGCTATCTCTTTACCACTGTTCTGTAAAATTCAAGTTCTCTCTGTATCCTTCTTTCACTGGTGGTTACTCCCTTTGGGAGCCCCGTGGGTCCTTCTGATTATTACAGACACTGCCAGGCCAGGAGGAAATGGGTGAGGAGGAGGAAGGGTGAGCTCTGGCTCATCATCCTGCCCTGCCTTTTACCAGAGCATCCTTGTTCTCATCTGGTTCAGGCTGGGAATCTACTGAAGATTTCATGTGAAGACAGGAATCTGCTGCTCAAGGCCTTTGAAGTCCACCATCTCATACCATTTTCACTTTTGTTTTCTCTACTTTGTTGTCCTGAGGGGCATATTTTCTGCCTTCTGCCTTCACCTTTTCATATTAACTTGGGATCTTTTTCCTTAAGTGTTCAAAGCATTTCTAAGACCATAAGGAATATTAACATTAACCACACTATCATTACCATTATAAAAGTGATAGGTCCTTATAACAAGTAGAGAATTGGAGAAATTGTCCTTAAAAAGCATGAAAAGGCTAAGCCAGTCTTGGTCCAATTCCTGTACTGAATTGGTGCAAACTGGGATAGGGCTTCAGGGTTCTAATCATGGTGCCCTGCACTAGGCTGTAGCTTATACCAGCTGTCATGGCGTCCGTCATTTGGTTATGCCTACCCAGCTGGGCAAAGCCAGCTCACGGGACCACTGATACATCAACTAAGGTTTAGGAGGTTGAGGGAGAAGAGGAAAGAAAATGAAAAGGAAGGAAGAGGAAGGAAGGGGAGGGAAGGAAAGAGAGGGGAAAGAGAGGGCAAGCTCATGTGAATAAAGATGGGGCAGGAAGGGTCACCTCTAATCTACATTGGCTACTGAGAAGCAGGGTGAGGTAAAAATGTTTAAGAAGAAAGGTGGTGATTGTAAAATGGTAGTCGGCATCTGGCAGTAGACAAAAGATGGTGAGTTTGAATGAGACAAGGAATTTAGATTTACCTTTTGAGAAATGGCCTAGGAATGAGTTATTAGGGGAGTTCTGGCATCTGTGTGTTTGGAAATTCGATTTAAAAGGACAAGACCTACTTTATTTTCCTTGTGATATCGAATGAGAACCGGGGAAATGCCACAAGAGAATAAGGTACTTCCGTCATCTTCAGAACCCAGGTATTGTTTCCTCTTCAACATCAAGAGTTAACTATGTCTCACCATCGCTGATTTTTTTAAAAATTCATTAAGTTTATGGGTACATTTTAGGTATAAGATATGATGACATTCATCATTGGGAGTTTGTACCTTTACATGATATATCTTGGATCCCATTGCTTTTTATTTATTTATTTAATTTGGAGGGGTACTGGGGATCAAACCTGGGTCCTTGTGCTTTTGAGGCAGGTGGCAGAACCACTGAGCTAAATCTCCAGCCACCCCTGTTGCTTTTTAAAAGCCATGTCAAAAATAAAAAATAAGAGAGCCAGGCGTGGTGGCTCATTCCTGTAATCCAAGCACTCAGGAGGCTGAGGCAGGAGGATTGCTGTGAGTTCGAGACCAGCCTGACCTACATAGTGAGTTCCAGGTCAGTCTCAACTACATAGTGAAACCCTGTCTCAAACCCACCCCCACAAAAAAGAAAAGAAAAAAAAATTAAAAAATAAAATAAAAGCCATGTCTGTCTTCACAAGATCCCAGGAGAGAGGCAGGTGGCAATTGCTGCATTTTATAGGCATCTACCTGAATTCTGCACAGCAATTCACTCACAGAATAGGAGATAAAATCCCAAATCTTTTTTTTTTTTTTTTAACCACTACAAGCCTTTATTGCAGGGACAATCTGTTGCGCTGTCTCTGGTAAAAGGAGAGAAAGCAGTATGGCCAAGACAGGGAGTGCTTCTTATAGGACTGGGCTGTGGCTTATAGGAGCTGTGGTGGGATTTCTTGATATAGTGGCTAGGGATCGGAGGAGCTTGTGACATCACCAGGAGAGGCTTCCTTCTTGGCAGGAAAAGAGGCATGATGGGAAGAAGAAGGCTGTCCTTTAGTAAGAGAAGCCATATTTTTAGGTGAGAAGCAGGGCATTATGGGAAGAAGGCTATTCTTTTTATGTAGCAGCCATCTTTTTAATTTATTTTTTTATGTATATTTTGTTCCTTTTATTGAGGTTATTCATACAATCTAGGTATACAATACAATTACATTCATCATTGGGATTCTGTACCTTTACATAATAGGTCTTGATTCTCATTTTTCCCCTTGTCCCTGCCCTCCCTTCACCCCCTCCTCCCCTCCCCATTTACAAACACTTTATTTCCATTTTTTCAGTTTCTCATATTTTTTTCCTCTCCCTTATTACCTTTCCCCCACCCTTCCCACTTTCCCTACACCTTTAGCCCTTTACTTCCTATTTCACGTTATTAATTATCTCATTAGGATCCTGTGTACTATTGTAGTTTTTCATACCAAAGAAACTATTCAGTATTTTAGTTAAAGAAATCTCTGTATGAACATTAAAAATAGGGAATCCTAAAATAAAACTAAAAAGGAAAGTAAAAGAGAAAAGATAATGCTGTAACATCAAAATAATCCTTAATTCTGGAGATGGAAATGCTCCCTGAACATATTTAAATTGCTTCTCCCTCTTATAGTCTTATCTTATTCTTTTTTTTCATTATTTAGAGAATACTTTATTAGTTTCTGTAATCAAGCCCATGTACATATGACCTTACATATTTAGTACGATGTGTTACCCCTGTACACATGGAAAAAAATAAAAATACATTAACATTTCTAGACCAATATGGTTGTCCATTTCTGTATAATGCCAAGTCAACACAGTAAATTAGGATGACTTTTTCCAAAGTTGGCAGCACCGTTAAAGTTTCCCAAAATTCAATTTTCAATTTATAAACACTAATAATAGTATATTATGCATCGATAGCAGCAACAGCTTTTCCAGGTTCTGCAGTCATCTGAACAAAATTATAGACATTCAGCACATTCCATTAAAAAAAAAAAACAAAAACAAAGAAAAGAATAATATCCAGACAACAGCAAAGTTCTGTTTCTGTTGTGGTGCTGTTGTGGTATTTTTTCTATTAGCCTCGTAATCATCATCTGGAAAGAGAACATTCTAGAGTAATATCATTAAATGTAGCTCTGATAAAGCACGGTCCCTACTATGTATCATAAAGCAGGTACTAGATATTTTACATTCATAGAGGTATGATACAGTACTGTCCTACATCAATAGTACTAGATTCAGTTTTGGTTTGAAATTTACTTTGTCTGCAAATAAGATTGCTACCCCTGTTTTTTTCTGGGCTCCTGTCACATGGAGAATTGTTTTCTATCTTTTCACTTTCAGGCTATGGGCTTCTTTTTGCACTAGGTGTGTTTCTTGTATACAACATATTATTGGATTTTGCTTCTTATTCCATTCTGCCAGTCTATTTCTCTTGATTGGTGAGTTGAGGACATTGACATTGCTGGTTATAACTGATATGTACTGACTTATTATTGACATGTTATTGGCCTTTTGTTGACTCTTTTTACTTTTTCGCCTTCTCCTTTTAATTTCTTGCCTTGCCTATTTGATTTGCTCTGTTGGGCCTCATGGTGTCGTTGCCTTCATTGTCTTTTTCTAGGATCTTGTTTA